AAAAAGCTAAACATCGATCTACCATTTGATCCAGCAATACCACTCTTGGGGATATACCCAAAAGACTGTGACACAGGTTACTCCAGAGGCACCTGCACACCCATGTTTATTGCAGCACTATTCACAATAGCCAAGTTATGGAAACAGCCAAGATGCCCCCACTGACGAATGGATTAAGAAAATGTGGTATCTATACACACTGGAATTTTATGGAGCCATGAGGAAGAATGAAATGTTATCATTCGCTGGTAAATGGATGGAATTGGAGAACATCATTCTGAGTGAGGTTAGCCTGGCCCAAAAGACCAAAAATGGTATGTTCTCCCTCATATGTGGACATTAGATCAAGGGCAAACACAACAATGGGATTGGACTTTGAGCACATGATAAAAGTGAGAGCACACAAGGGAGGGATGAGGATAGGTAAGACACCTAAAAAATTAGCTAGCATTTGTTGCCCTTAATGCAGAGAAACTAAAGGAGATACCTTAAAAGCAACTGAGGCCAATAGGAAAGGGGACCAGGAACTAGAGAAAAGGTGAGATCAAAAAGAATTAACCTGGAAGGTAACACACACGCACAGGAAATCAATGTGAGTCAATGCCCTGTATAGCTATCCTTATCTCAACCAGAAACACTTGTTCCTTCCTATTATTGCCTATACTCTCTCTTACAACAAAATTAGAGATAAGGGCAAAACAGTTTCTGCTGGGTATTGAGGGGGTGGGGGGGAGATGGAGGGGGTGGATTGGGTCGCAAGGGAGGGGGTGGGAGCAGGGGGAGAAATGAGCCAAGCCTTGTATGCACATATGAATAATAAAACATTTAAAAAAAAGAATTAACCTAGAAGGTAACACATGCACAGGAAATCAATGTGAGTCAACTCCCTGTATAGCTGTCCTTATCTCAACTAGCAAAAACTCTTGTTCCTTCCTATTATTGCTTATACTCTCTCTTCAACAAAATTGGAGATAAGGGCAAAATAGTTTCTGCCCGGTATTGAGGGGGTGGGCGGGAGAAGGGAGTATGCACATATGAATAATAAAACAATAAAAATTTTTTAAAAGATGCAGAAAGAAAAAAAATGAAAACGTGGAACTAGATACTTATTTCAATATAAGACACATAATTTGTTTAAACAAATTGCTTAACCTCACAGGACTAAGAATTTCCAGAATTGAGTTCAAATTCAAACCTGCTTCAGAATCTATCTTCCTAGCCATAATAAGAGTTGTATTCATTTTAAAGAATATGTGATTTCGAAAATAAAACTGTGTCAGAAAAGATGTAGAAATGAGAATGAACAAGTACAAAGGACAATTTTTCCATTTCTAAGTTGATCTAAAACTATTAACTTTGCTGAAGTTCCACGAGGAAAAGACCTGTTGGGAGGGAATTTTTACAGACACTTGTCTGTGTGGCGTTGGGCTCTTTGGGGATGGTGTGTTTAAAGAGCCCAAAGGAAGCCATGGTCCTGTTATCTCCAGGTTCTGGGGACAGGCTGTTTCATGAAGCATTCCCATGGGCCTGCTGGTAGGATCTGTAGTCGGTTTCTGCATCCTTCTCCCTCTGGCTTCATGAGTGGCAAAATAGCACAGACCCTGAGATTCCCTACTCAGAGAAGCAGGAAACAAACTTGTATTGGATTGTTTTCACACTGTCCTGGAATCTACAATATCTGGGGCTACGGATAGTGTTTATCCATTATTCCCTTGAGGCTGGCCGTTTTGAAAAGGATATACTGTATGAATATAATCTTCCAAACATAAAAGAGGGGGTCTGTGGATGTAGCTCAGTGGAGTGCTTGCTGAGCATGCACAAAGCCCTGGGTCTGTCCTCAGCACAACAACAACAAGAAATGGAAAACAGAATTATCTCTCCTGACCCTTGAGTCTTCCAGCATTGACCTCACATCTGAATCTCTCTGCACCAGGAGTTTGTCAATGCAGCTACATCCTCTCTACACCACAGTAGCAAACTTGAGGTGTGTAGCAACCCTGGCCTCTGAGACAACCATAATTATACTGTTGCCCAGGATGCACGAATGAGAGATACGGTAAATTTACTGAGTGGTGCCAATAAGTTGGCACACAACTGAGAGGAAACACACACAAAAAGTCCTTCTCTATCCTCAGTTCTTCCCCTTTCCTTTGCTTTTCCAACCTAATCACTCTTACCCCATTGTACCATGGATTGTGGTCATTGTATATAATTTTCTGTTGCTATCATACAAATTACAGCGCACTGTGTGCCTTGAAACAACACAAATTTATTATCTTAGAGTTTGAAGGTCAGAAGTCCAACACAGGTTCTACCTGACTAACATCAAAGTGTCAGCAGGGCTGCATTCCATTCTGAAAGATCTAGGAGAAAATCAGTTTCTTTGCCTGGTGGTTTCCTTCCTCTGTTTTCAATGTCAGCAAGCAACTTTCCATCTCTCTGACCTATCTTCTATAGTTGTGTCTCCCTCTGAACACAGCTGGGGGAAGTTCTATACTTTTAAAGATCTGAGTGATTAAATTGGGCCCATCTGGATAAACAGAATATACTTCCTCTGTCAAGGTCAGCTGATTGTCAGTTTTAATGGTATCAACAATTTTAAATCCTATTCACCATCTACTTTAATTAATTCACAGACTGGGGATTAGGACTTGTTCGCCTATTGCTTCGATATTCCACTAGAGGGCACTAACGTCTTCCTTAATATAAGCACTAAGTTTCAGGTAATGATTTGAAAGTTTGATAAAATTGAACACTGTATTAACAATTATAACAAAAAACACAAGTATCTCTCATTGAGAGTTTTCAAAGGTTGATCATGGAGGATAGGAAAAAATAGGGTAAAGTGAATTTCTCAGAACTGAACCATCCTGTGCCTAAAGTGAAATAGAAGTATGATAAGATGAGAATTATATTCTTTACCTGGGATCAAAATCATACAGAAGAAAACTGCTGCATATTTAAAGAGAAAAGCATGCATTTTATTATAGAGGTTTTAAGGAATGGTTCCTTCATTGGGTAGATGCAGGCATAATTATTTTTTAATTAAGATAATATTGCCCAACATGGATAAAAGAAAGATGTGGCAAATTTTCTGAGAGGTCCAGATTCCAGCAAGAACAGGGAAAGAAAGGTAAGAAGTATGCAGAATTCACAAGAATATGTAACATTAAAATGCAAAAGATACGTTTCAGAGTTCCCACCACAGAGAACTCTCTCTTCTTCCCATTCCTATTGTTAGAGAAATAAGAGTCTCCCCTGCTTTCAGGAAGTAGAGTTACTTTCCATAACTCTTGAATGTGGTTGCCTCATGTAGAAGCGATCAGAGGAAAGGTGACATGAAGGAAGGATGTGAAGTAAACAACTGGCTCCTAGTTAGAACTCAGACTGCAGCACCATTTTAATGCCTTGGTTGACATAGAGAAAAAATAAGAGGCCAAAGAAGCCTCATAGTCAAGGGAATAGACTTGGAGGAATCATGTGACTGAGGAAACTGATTTAGCTAGCAAGGGATAGAGAGATAGTGTCAGCTACCTCCTAGATCTTGTAGTAATCTACTGTGAAAAGTATTTGGGAATAATAATCGTATCTTCAAATATAATTTCCCACCTTTACAATGTTGGAAGCACTATAGAACATAGGAAATTACCAGAGATAGTGGGCTTTCCATCATATATGTGGATACAACATGCAAGATTTCTTAAGATGCATTTGTGGTGGCAAAGTTTACTATGTAATTTGAATTTATTTACTTCAGTGGGCTTTTGAGAAGAATATTTCCTTGTTTCCCTTAAGAACATATAGATCCATACCTGGGATGTGGAGAATTTCCAGGATGACACAATCGCCTATGGCTGAGGCAGAGTGGAGCTTGCTCCCCACATTCTTTTCTGCGATACAAAAAGAAAGAACACTTCAATTTAGGTACGAATCAATGTCATTGCAGCAACCACTCTCCTTCCTCTCATGAGATAAAAAGTAATAGGGTCTCACCTCAAATGGGACTAGGGACAAAAATGTCATCTATGATGTTAAGAGCAGCCCTGAAAGTTAGGATGAGAGCCCAGTTCTGGACTGGAGATAAAAATCATTTGGCAAAATACTGAAAAGACTCAGGAAAGATCTAGATGTGGGCAGAAGTAATTAGGAGGGCTGGAGCATCTCCTTCTCTTCTTGACCCTCCCCCTAGCAATATTCTGCTTCCAACAAAGTGCAAGGAAAGCTCAAAGGTATACATCTATCTAACCATTACATTGTATATTGCAAGTATAAACAATTTTACTCATCAACAATACCTTAATTTTTAAAAACTAACAAGAAAGTTCAAAAGTGTTCAAGGGGGAAGACATCATTGCTTTTCATCAGTCTCTTTTGGAGAAGAGGAAGTGAAGAAAGATACAGCAAATCACGTCTTGAGGGGAGCAGCTGCAGGCTCTGGCAATCACAAATAAATTTTATCTCCTGAAGAGCAAATTAGCCTCGACACATGTTCAGGATTTTGAACTGAATACAGAGTGGTGAAATAATCCATATTGAGAATTTGACGAAGCTTTTATACCTTAAACACTGTTAAAGGTAGTGACTAAAGCATATATCATTGGATAGAGTCAGGAAAGTATTTGGTTTTGGTTTTTTTTTTTTTGCAGAGTAGGAATTACTTCTTGAAATGAAGTTCAAATAATAGTGTAAGTTTCTAAGTGATATGAAAATCACACATTATGTCAATTTGTAACAAACCTCCAAAATACGTAAATATTTGATAATTTCTACAAGTATGTGTTAATAAGAAAACATGGCAGCCTCAAGGAGATTAAGGAAAATGACACTGATCCCAAAGTCCCCAAACCTAAATCAGTGCTATTGCTTGTGTATACTTTAGTCCCTTGAGGAAAAGGAGTGGCTTCTATTACTGAAAATGTCTCTGGGGCTCAAGTAGTTTAAGAGGTAGAATCATTGCAGAAACCAGTAAGAGCTCCTGGAACTAGCAGACACCTGATCCCATGCCGGGGTTACATTACAATGCTGCCTGGGGTACCAGGCTCCTCAGCTGTGTTGTCCTTTGTCTCCTGGAAGCAGGTAAGTCCCACGACACATGGGCAACCTGTGGCCTCACCTTACAAGCTGCAGGTCAAGTTCTTCTCTGAGCATGTCTCTAATTCTGTCTCCTTCCTTAGTAGACCCCATGGAAACCCAAGTAACCCAGACCTCAAGACACATCATCACAAAGATTGGAAAGAAGTTGACCATAAATTGTTCCCAGAACATGAATCATAATGCTATGTTCTGGTGTCGACAAGACCAAAGGCTTGGTCTAAAGCTGATCTACTATTCAATTAATGTTGGGATTTTTGAGAAGGGAGACATCTCTGATGGGTACACCGTCTCTCGAAAAGAGAAGAAGAATTTTCCTCTGTCATTGGAGTCCACCAGCATCAACCAGACTTCTGCATACCTCTGTGCCAGCAGTTTATCCACAGCACTGCATAGCTAGCTGCTGTTTGCACAAAAAAGGCAGTCACAGGATGGAGACTCCTCCCTCAGAAGGCCAAAGGAAAATCTTTCCCTAAAGCCAATGAGCATAAAAGCACTCCCTATGTCACACCTTCAAGGAATCTGACTAATGCAGTCTTTCTGCACTGGGTGACACCTGTGGGCCAGTCCTCCTCTCTCCCATTGTTCCACAGAGCTTTTTAAAGGTCGGGCAGGATAAGCTCCCTGAGTTGGGTCTAGTGCCAGGAGTAACACTGCTCTGTGTTCCTTTCTCCTTATGGAACTTAAATTTCCAAATACAGCTGAGCTGTTGCACAAACTGAATCTCTCATTTCCAATCCCCTCTTCACAAAATTTAGTTCCATATTTTAGTTTCTATTCCTTGATGTTTTGTCACTGGATGGTGGTGGGAGGGATACCCCCATCATGTTCTGAGTTATTTACTAAATCTGAAATTTTCCCCACTCAGTAGATGCTCCTGCCATCCACTAATGTGCAAGCCAGAAGTGCAGGAATGATGTTCACTGCCTCTCTGATGTTCTCCTTCTGCACCTGACCCATCACCATGTCCTGAGTATCTCTAAGTTTTATGTTCCTTATAAATTTTACTAATTTTTCCAAGCTCCCTGATACCACTATGGCCCAGCAAACTTCATCTTTCACCTGGATTCCTCTAACTACCCTCCCACTAGTCCTACCAGTTTGCTCTCTGCTCCTACACACAAACCATGCTGTTGACCATAAAACCCTTCAAAGTCTTTCATTAACTAGCTAGTGTCAAGTTTCTGTAACTTTACAAGTCTCTCCACACCCCCATGATGTGAGGGTTGTATTCCTGCCTATCTTCCCAGCTTTGACTTCCCTTTATTTTTGGCTACCTTAGCTGCCTACATTCTAACTAGAAATGTTCTACTTCTCTGAGATATATCCTATGCTGACTCACTCCTATGTCTCTAACTATGATGCTCACTCCTTCCCTGGAAATCCACTTGGATACCTAACTAATGATGTCTTTATATACTACCTTAGAAGCCATTTTCTCTAGAAACCCTTGTGTTTCTGATGAGTTGGTTCCTCTGCTATGTGCTCTTATAACAGCCTGAACAGAGCTAACACTAACATTCATGCCCCAGAACTGACCTGCCAAGGGCCCTGTGCTGCTTTGCTGTGTAGCCCTTTTTCCCTTACCATAGGTAGATCAGGGGCACAGGTATGGTGTCCTTGAAGTTGGTGTTCCAGATTCTGTATTAGCACTTCTCTGGTGGTTATATATCAGTACCCTTCCTAAATACTCTCTCTCTTATTCACACTATCCATAGATCATGGTGTCACTGGGACCCCTATTAGATTTCGGGGTTAGAAAAAATGACTCTGACACAATCAGAACATGTACTATGATCCACATGTATGGGTGCAGACAGAGTGCGATATGAGACTGTAATTAATCTATTATTCAGTTGATGCCAAGAGTACTGGCAAATGTGAAGTCTCTAAAAGATATGGTGTCTCTTGAGAAAAGACTTTCTCTCAACCTCCAGATGTGTAGCCCCTCTGGGATACTTTGTCAGCAGTTAACCCACAGCACTGCAAGTCACTTCCTCTGTACAGAAAATGTTTTTGTAAGTGGCCTCACCTTCCTGACCTGTGTCTTTACCATAGTAAGATAATGCCTCCACAGAAAAGGACCATTCAGAAACCCTCAGAACACCCCCACACCCAGCTTTCTCCATGCACTAGAAACATTTGGAGCACCCAGGGCCCTAGAAAGCAGGGTAGGAATCCAGTCCATCAAATGCAGCACTGGAATGAGCTATGGAACTATCACTGCCCTCCTTCCCCTATTTGTTTGCTGTTTCAAAAGGGCTTCCTTACTCTGGGCCTTTAACAAATTGGCCAGAATCAAGCCACCTTCCCTCCCCTCACCTCCTGGGGAGAATTCCATTCTGCATGGTGGTCCTGAGGGACCCTCTCCAGGGTGCACAGACACTTCCTTGCATTTATTTCTATATGCCAGGGAACAATTGTAATCTCAGTTTAATTCCTTTTATTTAAGCATGTCAGACTGTAGTGTGTGCATTTATTGGTTTTGCCAAAAATAGACTTTTAAATTGTACTTGCTTTGTGAAAAAATTTAAAAGAAAACCCATCCTAATAGGGATAAGATAATTTACCAATTCAGAACCCTCCGTGTAAGCAAATAGTCCAGCAAAGCTGCAGTTCAAAAGGTATTCATGTTGAGATCTGTGGCAGCAGCTTAGTTCCTGGTAATATTGTTTTGGTTGGATTAGAGATGTTTACAACAATGTCAAAACTAAGGAATGTAATCAAAGTCATGATGACTATTTTATATTGCAAAAAAATCGCAGAAACTGTTGTGTGCCTATGTTTTGTTTTGTTTTGCTTTGTACACAAATTTCCAAAAACAGATATGTCACTAGGGAATTTCGATGGATGATATACTTATAATAACTACAAAAAAACTTTATTGGAAAATATAAGTATCACAGCGACATTTGTATTTCACTCTTTAGTTTTGATCAGTGGTTCTCAACATGCACCAGAAATACCTGGTGAGATGTTTTTGTTTCTATTGTGAAATAAGTTTCATGAACACTTATCATGAGATCAAACTAATGAATTAATTTAATAAATTGTTAAATGTACAATGCACTATTTTAAACTATAGTTATGAAGTTGTATAGCAGATGTCTAGAATTTTATCATCTTGCATGACTGACAACTTATACCAGTTTAACAGCAACTCCCTATTTCCCCAGACAATCATCATTTTATATTCTGCTTCTATGTGTTTAATGTTATGCTAAGTAAAATAAATGAGTCACAGAAAGACAAATATTAAATAGAAGGAATCTTTCATCACCAACATTGTTTAGAATTTCTGGCATGTATTGATGACTAGAGCAGAATAATTTTATTATTTTTTTAAAATAATTTGTCAATGACCTACCCTTTATTACCTGCACCCAAGGCTAACCATACCCCAATTCCACAATGGGTGTACCATTGTCCTGCCACCTCTTCAAGTGAAACTGCACCTGTAGGCATTTGCACCATTACTGAAAAGAGCAACATGGAAACAGAAAGTGTTTTGTAAAAGGAATTAAACTGTTGCCCATTGACAAAAGTCACCTTTCTCTAAGTACCTACTTCTATGGAAGCAAAGCAACAGCAGTTAGAAAAGAATCATCTAAAATAAACAGTTTTAGTAGATTAAATATGTACTTAAAGACATATACAATGTTACTCCATATATACCTGCACACATACACATACACTCCCATAGGAAAAAGTGTTAACTCTTTCCGATACAGGATGTGTGTTTGTGCACACATGGGCACACACACACACACACACACACACACACACACACACACACACACGACACTCCCGTGGTACTTCTTTCCTCTCTAGAACCTCTAGACTGTCTAATCTAGATGATGGAGAAGAGTTCTTGAGCATGGGCATAAGCAATGACATCATAGATAGTCAACTTCAACTGGGAGAAGATCTGTTCATTCTTCAAAACAGCCATGGAAAACAGCCTGCTCTGTGGTGTGGCCCTTTGTTTCTGGGGAATGAGTGAGTCCTGGTCATTGATGTGTCTGGGGAGTTGGTGGGATGCTGTCCTATTATTTCTAGGCCTTGAATACCAGACTTTTCCCTTATCAGCCTCTCTTTTCAACACCCCTCTATCCTTTAGTCACAGATCTTGTGGACATGAAAGTAACCCAGACCCCAAGATACCTGGCCAAAAGAGTAGGAGAGAAAGTTTTGTTGGAATGTTCACAGGATATGGGACACGAAAGAATGTACTGGTATCGACAAGACCCAGATCTGGCACTACAACTGATTCATTTCTCATATGATGTTGACAATAATGAAAAAGAAGATATCCCTCAGGGGTACAATGTCTCTCGGAAGAAGAGGGAGCACTTCTCCTTGATTGTGGAGTCTGCCAGCACCAAGCATACATCTCTGTACCTCTGTGCCAGCAGTTTATCCACAGCCCTGCACAGCCACATCCTCTTTGCACAAAAAAGAGCAGATACAGGAGGGAAGCAACTTTAAATTAGGCAGATGCTGGCTCCCATGGTACACTTATACCAGTTAGAAATAGTTGGCACCTAAAAAGAACCTCCAGAGGCACATATGTTAGCAAGGAAAGCACAAGATGTAGTCACTCCTTTCTAAGACAGAGGGTATTCTGAAGTTAACCTGATCAAAAGTATGTGATGTCCCTAACCTAAATTCATGCAGAAGACCTCTCACATATTCACACTGAAGCCCTGTTCTAACATTCTAAAATAATTTTTCTTTCTATTTCATATTGTGTCCCCTTTCATAGGCACTTTGTACTTTGATAAGCATCTTTGCTTTTGTTGATCTGTCCATAGAGGACACTAACACATTTAAGCTCTTTGGATAGACATTATTGTCCATGTACTGATTCAAGAAAAAGTTCATAGAATTTGAATTCTTTTCATTCATTTGAGAAAGAAAAATGCTCTGATATAAAGAAGATCTTTCTCAATATTCTCTTATAAATCACATTTTATTGGAAAAAATATTTATTCAGGGCATGAATAAACCACAGTGCAGAAGTTGGTAAGAACTGGTCAGAACACAACCATACTCATGATTACCTGGAGAAAATGCCTGCTTGCTTGTTTTAGGGAATGTAATATGACTATTCTGCCATAGTACGTTAATTGAGCCTTTTGTACTTTGGGAATACAAAAGTAATTTAAAGGATATTAGGAACCCCAAACAGCAGAGATTTTCAAGAACTATCAAACAGGCATATGAAAACCTATTTTGATTCAGTGCACATTTTTATGTAGAGAAAGTCAAAGAAAAAAAGTAAAACAATGTGTATTATAATGCTCAGGATTAAGTTTGTATGAGAAAATGGACATGAGCTGATTTTTGCATAATAGTAAACAAAGAAAGAGGAACTGACAAAAAAAGAAGAAATATTTTGCCTGTTTTTGCAAGTGATTCCACTGAAATGAAGGGGAAGATTCTTTCCTAGACACAACATAGGTATCACATGTCTCCTGACTGAAGTCAATATACAGAACCAAGAAATCACATCATCCCCAAATATCATTAAATAACAGAATACTTTATTTACATATTTTATGTGCAGTGAGTGAGTCTTCAGTGTGTCTGAGAATCTCACATTTATCCACAAATTCATAATTTCCCACAACAGGTGTTGCCCAAACTAATATCAATTTCAAGAGAGGGAACAGATCCAAGCATTCTGCATCCATTTCCAGTGCCTCTAGGACCATGCCCACTAGAATTGTCATCACCTCAGCTGAGATCCTAGTATAAACAGACTACTCCAGTGCCACATCTCCTCTTGGCATGGTTTGCTACCTGCTTTCTCCAACACAGCCTTACCTTGCAGACCAAGGAGAAAGATTAAGTATCATTTAACAAAGTGAATGAAAAAATATTTTTAGGTTAAAAGAGTTTTTGGAGACAGCATGACAATATTTTAAGATTAATTGGTTTAGACTGAATAGAGATTGTATTAGTCAACAACAGAAAATACATAACAGAAGACCTGTAAAGAAGTTGAAAGAATTGGAGGTGTGGCTTAAGAGAGAGAGAGAGAGAGAGAGGGAGACTGTAATGATTTTATTCTGGGAAAGGAGGTTTAGGTTTAGGAGTCAAATGAAAAGGTGTCCTATGAAGAGTTCATATTAAAACATCACTAATACTTACCAAAGGACACAGGATGTTTTCAGAAATTATCAGCCATTATTTCGATAAAGGTGGATTGCATTAGGGACTGAACATTTCAGAGAAGAGGAAAACTGCTACTGTAAATCTCTCAGAAAACAAAGTTTAAAATTATGCAATTTGGGCAAGCTAACAGAATAAATTCTTCCATATTAAGTGGAAATTTGAACAGAACTTTTTGATGGGACATGGTAAATTGGAGGGTATGGTCTCTTCCAACAGGAACCAAAGACAATGAGAAAGAAGGAAATGCTTTTTTTTCTTTTCTAAAGGCTACTGAGATATCTCAGCTTATTTATTTTATATACAACAGCCCTGACATACAGGCAGTATTTTCTTCTAATTAAAAATAAGGACCCTAGATTTATATAGGTTTCTCATAGCCACATAGCCTATAAACCAGAGGTTCCTAAGGCCATTCAAAGAGTGTCACTTGGTTCTATGACAAAGCATTCCTATCTAATAAAAAGAAATAAGGTTTTCAGCTTGTTCTCAATGAACAATTGTTACTTCCTAATATAATAATTGCTTGTATGCTTTACAAATGCTCAAAAATCCTTGTACTTAATATTCAGTTGTGAGAATGTTTCATAAGTATGAGTGGTGTTAGAATAAGAGGGCCAATGTCAAATACACCAATTTATAGTTCTAGATGCAGAATTATTGCTTGTCCTTATCTGAACATTGAAGCTATACTTGACCTTCTTCATTTTCATTATATTTTGTTTCACTTTTATTTATTCAAAATTACTATCAGAAAGTGATAAGACCAAAGGCATAACACAATGCTATAAGTGAATTTTTTATAAATTGCACAAAAATCCGTGGCCCCCATGCTTCAAACAATGCATAAAATATAAGCAGCAAGGCACTCAGCGCTCTGATGGGAAACCAAAGTTTATTCTAAGGAAGTAGACTGGAAATACATGGCACATCAAGAGTGAAGTGAGGACGTGGAGAAGCTCAAGTGGTAGAGTTGCCTGCCTAACAAGTGTGAAGCCCTGAGTTCCAACCTCAGTAGTGCCAAAAAAAAAAAAAAAGTGAAGACGAGACATAGGGCTAAAAACAAAGAGAATGGTTGATGTATAGTCTAGAAAAGCCAATTACTCAGAACCTTTTGTCAAGAACTGTTGATAGCATTCAATTTTGCCGGGCTAACAAACTAACAAGTTAGCCTGCCACTGCTCCATGGATGTTAATGGAAGAGCTGGAACACTGGGTCAAAGTATTTTGATATTCTCGGCACAGCAGTAATTGTGAGCTTCATGCTTCCATAAGTCCCCTTTGGCACCCTCCCTCAAGGTTCCCCAACAGTGATATGGAACATCTGCTGGCTGCTGCACATGCAGTTTGTTTGAGTCACAACTAACACTTTAAGAACCTAGAAAATCCCAGTTTATTAACAAGGCTGCTAAGAAACTTGATCAACCTTTGCCCTAGAGGGAGGTATTATCTTTGTTATCCTAGATAGCAAGTATATCTAGGAAATCATGGAATGATATATTTCAAGCCCTGGAAAAAAACAACTGCAAACCAAGATTACTATTCCAGTAAATTTATCATTCAAAAGTTGATAGAAAATTAAAGACCTTCCAAGATAAACATAAGCTAAAGCAATTCATGACCTCTAAGCCAGAAATGCAAAAGACAAGTAAAGGAATCATACACAGAGGAAGAAGAAAGATAGTAAAAAACATAAACCTCAGAAAGAAATTAATTTTATGAGAACAGATGAACAGAGAAAATTCGGTAAGAATCAAACATGTCCAACTCAGAAAACCAGCAAAATCTGAAGATGAACAAAGATGAAAGAAAAGAACAAATGGTACTCACATTAACCAGAAAAATGATGAACAAAATCACAGGAATCAGAAAATCCTCTCAACAACAATCCTAAAAGTTAACAGTCTTAACTCTGATCAAGAAACCTTGACTGGCTGATTGGATTAAAAAAGAAGATCTAACTTGTATTATTGTCTATAAGAAACACACCTCACAGGCAAAGACACACAGAGACTGAAAACGATTTAGTAAGCAAATGGAAATTAAAAGCAAGCAGGAGTAGATATACTCATAAATGACAAAGTAGTTTTCAAGCCAATATTACAAGAGTTAAGAAACATTAACAAAGGGAACAATCCAAAAAGAAGATAAAACAATTGTAAATGTATGTGCACCCAAATCCATAAAACAAACACTACTATACATGAAGGGACACACAGATCTAGATACAATATCAGTGTGTTATTTCAACATCCCACTCTCATCAATAGATCATCCAACAAAAAAGTCAACAAAGATGCCTCAGTGGTAAACTGCACCATGGATCAAATGGACCTAATAGACAACTATAGAGCATTCTATCCAAACATTCTTCTCAGTTGCCCACAAAACTTTCTCCAATATAGGTTACATTTTAGGTCATTAAACAAGTCTTAACAAATTTAAATAAGCCAGAATGATTTTATATATTTTAACATATCATAATGGAGTAAAGTTAGAAATTAATAGCAAAAGAAACTATACAAGCACATGGAGATTTAACAACACACTTTTGAATGACCAGTGGGTCATTGAAGAAATTGGGAGATAATTAAAATTTCCTAGAATCAAATGAAAATGAAAACACTACTTATTATACTCTGTGGAGTGCAGAAAAGGCAGAGTTAAAAGAAAAGCCAACACAGAGATCTTAAATAAATAAGCTAATGATGCACAAGAAGGTCTTACAAAAGCAAGGAAAAGCCAAACTTGAAATCTGTACATGAAATTAAATAATAAAAATCAGAGCAGAAATTAATGAAATAGACAAAGAATGAATGATACAGACAGTTATTTGAAAAGATAAACAAGATTGATAAAATCTTAGCCAAACTAACCAAATAAAAGAGTGAAATAACCCAAATTAATAGAATTAGAGATTAAAAAGGGGACTATTACAACAGATAACAATGAAATTTAAAGGATTATTTGGAAATAATTTCAAAACACTAATTCCAAAAAACTGGAATACTTAGAAGTAGATAAATTTCTAAATGCATAGTACCTACAAAAGTTAAACCAGAGAGTATAAAGCACTTAAATGTATCTATAATAAGCAATGAATTGAAGCAGTAATGAAGGCCTTTACACAAAGAAAACCCTGGACCAGATGGATTCATGGCTATATTCTACCAGATCTTTAAAACAGATCTAACACCAATGTTTCTCCAACTACTCTATAAAATAGAAAGAGAAAGAATGCTATTAAACTCATTCTATGATGGAGTGTCACCCTGATACCAAAGCTGCATAAAGACAAAAAAAGAAACTTG